ACAGTCGTGTTTCTGGACTGTGGCAGGAAGCCAGAGTACCCAGAGAGAACATGGAGACCGAGTAGCAGGTGGACCAACAGCAGAACTCAAACTTTAATCTGGATTCTGTTCTAGATATTTCCTGCGTTTCCTGAATGTTGCACAGAACCAGAACCCACTCAGGAAAAGTTCTGGGCCATTCCGGGACGGATCCTCCAGAACCCAGGAGAACCGGGTCCAGCTGGAGGTTTGATCGTTAATAACAGTTATTATGTTTGTGATGACCAGGAGAGCCTGATGTGGGAAATCAGCCGGACCGGACCGGACCGGACCGAATCGAACTACAATCGGTACAAACACCAGGAGATCCCGGGAGAAGACGGCTCAGGTCGCTCTGAGTCCAGATGGATTATGGGTAATGAAGTGTTAACTATGGCGCTGTCCGCCATGTTTATCTGCTCCGACGTCTTTGTGAGGAACCTGGATGCCGGATCAGAACCTCTTCCGGTCCCGGACGGGCCGTGTTTCCTGTAGAACCACCAGCAGTTCGTTTTAAGCTGTGAAGCAGAAACTCAGCGGGTTCCCAGCGCCGCCGCGGCAGTTGGAGCAGCTGCAGCCGCTGGGGCTCCGTCTGCGGTCTACCTGCCGCCAGGTGCCGCCAGCAGGCATCCTGTGGGAACCCACGGACCCACCCGGAACCACAGCAGGGTTCTGCATCGGCCCGCCGACCCGCTCAGGTCCAAACCACCAACAGCAGCCAGCGAAATCCTGAGAGTCTGAGAACCGGGCCAAAGTTCTGTTCATCAGAGGTTCTGGTTGATGAAGAGGAGACAAAGAGGAAGACATGTTGTCTCTGCTCAGCAGCGATCAGCCGACCAGAACCCACACGGTACCGGCCTCCGGTGCCGTTCTACTCCCAGTGACTAGTAGGCGGTACCTTCACCTGTCCAACTGTCCAGAATGAAGACATTTTGAAAATAAATTTGCTTTAATAGAAACTCTGCGGTAATGAACCAGATTTCTGGATAAAGTTTTTCTCTCCGTGTTTTTTTTTCTTTCCGTTTTGAATTGAGCATTTCATAAAACTGCAACAGAAACATTGATTTCACAGGAGTCACATGATCAACAACCGGATGTTGCCGCTGGCGCCAACCACGAAGAAGAAGTGGACAGGAAGTGATGGGAGGACAATGGCGCTGCATGTTTCTAAACTGTCCGTGATTTTAATAGTTTCTTAAACACGACTGACAGTCAGACTGAGTCTGTAGGGTGGGACGTGTCCAACGTGTCCAACATGTCCGGATTGTCTCCTCTGTTCCGGGTCTTGGTCCGTCCTTCCTCAGTAACATCCTGGCTTCTCTCCTCTGAATGAAGAACAAACTG